TCACTTATTTTTGATGAGTTCTATTCATCACTATCCAACTATTTTTCTTCTTTAGAAGCACTGTACACAGCTCTCTTTTTACTTTGCTGACAGAATCTCTGCAAGAGCTGAATGATCCTCCAATGCAGCTTCAAATTATTAATAAAAACCACCTGTGACTATGAATGTTCCCATTGCTTAATATTTGTAATTATATAGTTTGTATGCATTCTAACCTACTGCTAGATACAAATGTCAAGAAGATAAGATGAACGGCAGATTGTCTTTTTCATCTCCTCAGACTGCTTTGATAAGATATGTCAGCAACTTTACAGGTGACCTATTTATTGGTCTGGATGCAAAGCATCTGAACAGACTTCTTGTGAAGTGAAGCATCGAGTTTTTTTACAGTGTTTTGCTGGCCAAAAATCATTGAAGTCACTGGTATATTGAGGATTAAGCTTTAACAACCTCTAGCATTGATACACCAACAGTTTGTGTGTTTATGTTTGTGCCCTTTTTTTAGTCTATCCAGCATGAAGGGCAGACTGTATAAATAAACTATAAATAGACTGTAAAACAGGAAAGGACAGCTATCCTTTCCTGGTTTTGTTGAGTGCAAATACCAGAATGTATGAGTAGCTGCACTTGGTAGGACAAAAGATCCATCTTGCGTGGTATCTGGTTTCCAATAGCCAGGTGCCTGAGAAAGCATGCAAGAACGGAGCAAGTGAATGGCAGTCCTTCCCTGCTGTAGTCTCCAGGTCTTGAGGAGTTTGAACTTTGTGGATTGCAGAGGTTTTGCATTTGTATTATAATGACATTAGGTGACCTTTCTTATATTGATCTAATTATTGGGATCTCGAGGAAACTTGGTTCTGATGGAGGTAAACTGTAATTTTCCTCTGAATAGGGAAGTCAGAGTAGCAGATAGCATCATACTTATGACAAAGTTATCAGTTCTTTGTATTCAAACAGGGTGGAGTGGAAGTCTGGTTTTGCTTCAGGAAGTTAACATTTAAATGGACCTAAGCTGGCTTGGATGTTAATACATCACTGAGATAAATGGTACGGAGCAGAGTTTATTTCTTTGCTGCTATGATGCTGGCAGGAGAGTGTGCTCTGTAATTGATTAACAGGGTACAGTACATTGACTTATATGGGGAAAGCTATTATATCTCGGTAACAGGAAGGTATATATGATTCTGGGTTTAGTAAGTAAAAAATTGGATTCTGCAGGAAATAACTAAAACTGCTGAAAGAACGAAAGGTTCCCAAGGATTTTTTTTTTTCTCTTAAATCTGTGGCATAACAGCATTTCATGTTATGAAGGAAGTTTAACTAGTGCAATATATTTAGTGGAACTTTCATACAGGGCTAGAAATATTAGCTTATGTAAGCAGTCTTAACTTTTGTTCTATTGGACCTAAAGTCACGAGTTTTTGATGAGATTTAATATGTGTTTTAATGTCTGTTCATTTGAAGTATAAACCTTCCCTATAATTCATTACACATTCATGGTGAATTTCCTATATTTTGAATCCTAAATGAGAGGACACATTGGGGTATGTATGTTTGGTTTTTTACATGGGAAAGTGAGGTATTTTTTGTTTTTTTCTTTAACTTTTATGTTGGTATCCTAAAATAGGCATAGGAAATGAATGCAGTTCTGAACAACAGTGAAGGAAAACTATATCAACTGTTCCATCTTTCCACCCTCCCTGTCCCTCAGTATTGACAGTTCCACCCAAACTAAGAAAGCAGTTCCACCCAAACCAAGAAAGGACTAAGGGTCAGATTCAATACTTCAGAAGCACATATATACCAAATGAAGCACATTCATGACTGTAAGAATTGTGACTGCAGTGGTAAACACAGAGTGATACTCCCTGTGTGGTTTTATTTTTAATTTTTGACTATGTCAAGATTCTCTGTCGTATTCTTTTGAATCCAAGAGGATGGATTAGTGAAGCACAGAGACAAGGCAGGCCATACAGGGGGTTGACTTAGAGGCTAGTACTGTTTCCAAACAAGTTTTTCCACATTTCCTTTTGCGTAGCTTCCTCAATAGTAGCTGTCAGAACAAAAGGAGATTTTCTCAGTAGCTACTGGGATTGGAAAAAGAACAGAAATTTTCATGAACTACTGTTTGGAAAGGGGTTTTTCAGCTGTTGTGCTGTTTCTGAACAAATACAGGTATACTTTCTAGTGGCAGAAATTAAGATTTTGCTCACATTTTATCCCTTTTTAAAAGTTTTTTGTTGTTGTTGTTGTTGTGATTTAGGATAGCTCTTTTGTTTCACAAGTTTTTTTAGAATATTGTGACCAATAGCCTCCCATTATGTTAATAATTAATCAAATTATATAAATAGCAAACATTTTTGTAGCTAAATCTTTCTATTCCTAATATTCTTCCACAACAATGCAGGGTTTTCTCCCCACCCCCCACCCCCAGGTATGAAACTATGGGTGGGAGAAAATTGTATAAACCTACCAATCTGCTTTAAAAAAATATATTAGAAAAAATCAGGAAACTGGACAGAGGTACTTGTTCAACCTTAATGAGAATTATTTTTTCCCTTAACAATAAGGTGTAAGATAAGCACAGGAAAATGCTATAATGAGGTTTTGTTTTGCATTTTAAAAATATTTCTGATTATGTGTTCTTTTGCTTTTGAATGTCTCGTTCCATTTTTACCTAGACAACAGGACTAATGAAAAATTACTTCAAATCTCTAGCTAGGTAACACTAATGATGAAGTGCAGCGAGAGCAGTTTGCTAGCAGTTTTTAAGCTGAAAACCTATTTTTATGAACTACTAGAAATACACTACAGATAAAGGAGTACACAAGAAGGACTTTGTCAAGTAACTCTCTGTGATTATGACATTTAGGGCAAAATTTGTAGTATTTCAGTCTGCTGATCACTTCTGTTCTTAAGCTCTAGTGTTGCACTACTTTGACTGAAATCATAGGAGCCTGGCACCCAGGATCTTGTTGCCAGGACAAGGCCCTGTGTCACCCCGGTGTGGAGCTGGGATGGTGCGTTAGGCACAAGGTGCTGTGCACAGCTGGCTGCAGGCTGCTGGCCAGATGTGCTGTGGCTGCCCCAGCAAAGCAGGGGCAGGAGGGGAAGTGATCCTTCTGGTATTAAAAGCATTTATCTTCCCTCATCAGAATTCCATCATTAAGTAGTGTGGTAGTGAACATTAAAGGCATTGAAATTGTCCTTTAATTCAATTCGATTGCCCTTTGCTCTTGCCTGTGCTTTTATGCTGGTATGAATTTTGCTTTCTCCTTTAACAAACTCTCTGAAATTTGTGAAGGGAATGTATTTGTTTTGTTAAATGTCAAAGTACTGATTCATGAACAAATGTTCTTCAGTATTTCTGTGCATCAGTTTCTATTGCTATGAAAGTCATTATATGTTTCATTACATGAGACTGGAAATTTTGGGAGACCTGTATTATAAATTATTTGATTCACTCACAATCCCTTTTTTCCCTTTTAAGTTGTTTTTTTTTTTTTTTTTGAGGGTAGTATTAATTCAGTGTCCACATGTGATCCAGTGTGACCAAACCACCGTTTTCCAATTGTATCAAAACTACGTCTTATGACTGAGTTTTAAAAATGCTGCCTGCCAGGGGTGGGCTAATACTTTCTAGATACATAAATTGAGGGTGTTTCCACTTATAGAAGAGCCTGCGTTGCAGTGCCTGTCTTTAAAAAGATTATTCAACCTGTCTGGTGTAGGTTATGGGGTTTTTTTAGGTTGTACCTGGAATATAAACCTTCCAGTGCTTCAAGGGCGCTACAGGAAAGCTGGGGAGGGACTCTGCATCAAGAGGTGTAGGGATAGGATAGCATGAGGGGTAATGGTTTTAAACTGAAAGAAGGTAGATTTAGATTAGATGTAAGGAGGAAACTCTTTCCTGTGAGGGTGGTGAGACACTGGCAGAGGTTTCCCAGAGCAGCTGTGGCTGCCCCCTCCCTGGCAGTGCTCAAGACCAGGTTGGACGGGGCTTTGGGCAACCTGGGCTGGTGAAAGGTGTCCCTGCCCATGGCAGGGGGGTCGGACTAGATGGTCTTTAAGGTCCCTTCCAACCCAAACCATTCTGTGATTCTATTCTATGATTCTAAACAAGCAATTTAATCTACATATTTCACCCATCTGTTGAAACAACTGAGGCAAAAACTAGAACAAAGGGCAGTACATTAATTCTCTACATATTTGGAAAATCAAAAGCCAATTCTCTTCATTCTAATTTATGTTACATAATACCTTCATACAAGAGCTGATTTGTTTAAAACTTTTTTTCTTGATTAGAAAGGCAAAGATTCTTATTTTTTTTCTATTTTAGATGCTAATACCAAGTTAATCTTCTTTATACTGAGTAAAATAGAAGTGCTCAAATGGATTATGGAGATTAAAAAAAAATATTATTTTGTTATGGGGTTTTTTTCAGTAAATCTGTTACTTGATAATTCATAGGCATTTATTAATGTACCCTAATACATTTTCATTTCTAAAATATCAGGTTATCAGCACTTCAATTACAAACTGAAAGTTTATAACTTATCTGCTTCTTAGGAGGCTTTCATGATAATACTTTTCTTTAGCACTACATTTTCATGTCACCAAAACCATTCCAGATGTATCAGGGCAGGCTTTTTTGATCGCTTGTAGTATCCCTAAGCAGAGTGTTTAGGTGTTACCATTACCTAATTTTGTCCTTTGTCGAAGTCTTCATTTTCTCATTTTGAAGTGTGTGTCTCTGTATGTTTGTGTGTTTTCTTGTGGGTTTTGTGGTGGGTTTGTTGGTTGGTTTTTGTTGATTTGTTTTGGGTTTTTTTGGGGTTTTTTTGTTTGTTTTTTTTTTACTGAAACTGAATGTATCTACATGCATTCCATTTGTACAAAAATAACAAGGCTGTGTTATTAGCCAAAAGAAAAAGGGCACATTGCCACTTAATATATATGATAATTAAAATCATAAAGTGTATTTTCTTTTTGTGTTTCAGAAAAGTGTGATGAACCTCTGGTCTCAGCATTACCCCACTCCTCCTTCAGCAGTTCATCATCTATGACAAGCAGCTACATGCCAGGGTATGCCAAGTTAAACAAGAGAGGAGGTAAGGGGCGCTCAACCTTAACATTCAGATACTTAAAGAAAAAGTAATGAATGATATTTTTAATATGAACATACTTTTTATGTAAAATATTATTGCTTATATTTGCTTTAACAAAGTTTTAGCTGTTTGACAGACTGTTTTAGTAAATGGAATGAGTTCTATTTCATTGCATGTGACAGTAATTGCACTTCATTGCACCTCAGGGAGAAATACACTACTGATAACGTGTAGCAGCATGGGCCAAATGCCTAATGTCGATGGAGTCATCCGGTACGGTTGTATAATTGACTTCAGTTGAAAGGGCATACCTGTGTTCATTGGGTAAATGAGCATTAGCAAGGTCATGGTTGTTGGAGCAAAACTAAACAGCTTTGGTGTGCTTTGTTGATTTAACTTGTTTCTCACCTTAGCAATGATTGCTGTCATTCATTTTTTTCTACCACCACAGGAACTTTGCCTTTTGCATGCATTGCTGTAACACAACATGGCGTTGTTCAGAAGTAACAAAGCCACCTCGGTTTTGGTGGTTGGAAGAATAGGCGCGTAAGTTTGTTCCACCTAGTCTTATTATATCCTTAGGACTAGGATTTGTTTCACAGTCTGAACACAAGTCTTTACCTTAACCCATAGGAATTTTCATAGCTTTCCTTGATCCAGAGAAGATCCAAGCTTTCCTTGGTCCAGAGAAGGGGCACAGGAATGATCAGAGGGTTGGAGCACCTCTCCTGTGAGGAGAGGTGGGTAGAGGTGAGGTTGTTCAGCCTGGAAAAGAGAAGGCTTCAGGGAGATCTTATTGCGGCCTCCCAGTACCTAAAGGGGGCTTGTAAGAAAGATGGATGGATTTCAGTAGGGCCTGTAGCGATAGGACAAGCAGTAGTGAGTTTAAGCTAAAAAAGGGTAGATTTATACCAGATATAAGAAAATTTTTTACAATGAGGGCAGTGAAACGCTGGAGCAGCTTGCCCGGAGAGGTGGTAGATGCCCCCTCCTTGGAAACATTCAAGGCCAGGTTGGATGGGGCTCTGAGCAACCTGATCTAGCTGAAGATGGCCCTGCTTATTGCAGGGGGGGGTTGGACTAGATGGGCTTTTAAGATCCCAACCCAAACTATTCTATGATTCTATGTCAATGACAACACTGACATGGCAGAATCTGCTTGAGGTTAAATTTATGTGTTTCAGGGAATGAGGTGAGGGGAGCTTTGCAACCAAGGGGGCTGAGCTGTAGACATGGAAGATCCTCAGGCAAGTGGTGCCCTTGCCACTGGGACACCATCCCCTGTCTACAAGCAGGGTGAGCAGTGCTGGTTGCACCAGCAGGTTCTGCCAGTTGTCTTGAGATCATCACACAGAAAAGGACGAGTGAGGCCTGGTATCAAGCTAGGAAACAAAATCCGTAAGTGTGTGAGAACACAGGATGGAGCTGGGCATGGATACACCTATGACGTGGCTCAGGTAGGTCCTGGGGACTGAAATGGGGTCCCCAGGCTCATGGTCAGCACAAGTGGGTTCCCAGTAGGTAGGGCAATTATAGCCAGTTGGTACCCTCAGGGTCCTGACACTGATCTTTTTTGTTTAGTCTGCAACTCCATTGGTCTGAATTCTCTGTATGTGTGTTGTATATGTGTAGGATTCTTGTTCTTTGATCTCTTTTTCTCTTGTTTTTTTGTTCTCTAAAATCAGTCTTAGCCAGCTCCCAAGGTTGCTTTCTTTTAATGACTAGTAATTGACCTGGTGAGTTGCTTAAAGCCCTGCTCCCTCTGGTACTACTCTGTGCCTGTACTTTCAATACCTCTGCTATCACCCTGTTATCATAGTCCTCTACACTACATTTTTATTCTAGAGTAATAGTTTGTTCTCTGCAGAATACCTACTTTAGGTACAGAAATATATCAAAATCGTGTGTGCCATCACAAAGCTAAGCTAAAGGTAAAACAGATTAGGCTATGTTACCTGTGTTAGAGAGTTAGTACCAAGCTAAACAGAAGTCAAAGACTAGCTTAGAGAAAATATGACTGACAAGCTGGAGTCCTGCAGCCCTGCTGAGCTGAAGCAAAGCCTGTCAGGAGCACTGGCAATTTCTTTGGTTTTATGCCTGCAGACTAGCAGATAACATTGTTTATCGTTCCAGAAATTTAGAAGACTTCTGAATGAGAATAGATGCCGTTTTATGCTGGTTTCAGGATTTTACTTTGGTGTTGCCTTTATTTTGTTACGTGCCTTTTAATAATTCTCCTTCTTTCTGTTGCAATACGTCTGAACGTGGGTTTTGATAGGCTGTTGGGCCTCTTAAGTTGTGTTTTCAAGTGTTTGTTGTCCAGATGAAAGAAGTTAACTAACAGTTCAATTCTAGAACACTGCTCATCCTTTACATTAAATTCTGCTGTATCTGATCGGAGTGATGTTGATTTGCATTGTATTCCCTATTCTAAAATAGAAAAAAAAAAAAAAAATCACTAGAATCACTTCAATAAAATAAAACTTTGCATCCACTTGGTGGAGAAGATCTTCAAATTGATTTTAGATTACTATTTCTCCTTTTAACTTACTCTGCTACTTATTCTATTGTAAGTGGAAAGCAAATCAGACATTTGGAATTTAATTTTTTGCCTTTAGTTATATTTACCCTCCCCTTTCTTACTCTTGCAATCACTACAGTGCAGTTTCTTTTAATGATATTTCTTTATCAATAAGGTCTGCAGTACAGTCATTAATCAAACACTGGCCTAATTTCCTCTATCAAAAGGTCATTTGAAATTTAGTTGCATCTCTTTGCTTAAATAGCAACTTCTTTAGACTGTTGTCCCCCATCTCTTAATACATACGAAGCATAGCATACATACTTTTCAAAACTGAACCTTCTATATGTACATTAACTAATTTTGCTTTCCTAATTCTAGAGAGAGCAGAAGTACTGCAGAATTCAGGAATGTGTTTAAAATGGGAACTCAGCCTTCACTGTGTTTATGGTTTTGCTTCTACAAATGATGGAAAATAGCTCAGTTTTAATGCTGAGCTATTTTACAACATCATGGAGTTACAGATATTGCTAACCAAACCAGTAATAAGGGAATCCAATTTTTTTCTCTCCAAAGAGTCATTATCAGATAATAGGTTCCCAAATCAAATGTACTATTTAAACCACACTGTGCTCAAGTCATTAAATGGAAAGAACTCCCTCTCCTCTAGCCCCAGACCCTTTAAATTAGGGAAACGCGCATTTGAAAATTCTAGTCTCCAACCCAATTATATTTTCCTTTACCATTTTCATGGCACTTCACTCTAGACTGGCAAAACACTTTAGCAGAATAGATCGTATATTTTATTCTATTGATTACGACACTGATTTACTGAACAGTCACATCATGTTATTAAGAAGGTTGCAGTCGTTGTTCTGGTTCAGTTTCCTGCTATAAATGTTGCAATTGGAAGGATGCACATCAAAGAGTTTAATATTTTCATCAGTTTTTAGGAGGCTTCAAAAGCAGAAACATCATTAATTTATTCCTAATGTTTGATATCACTTTGTTTACAAATCTCATAACTACTGATCTAGGCAAACAGAACTAAAACTGCATGGAATGGTATTGATCTGGAAGCTGAGCCTCCAGGATGTATGTGTAGGGTATTTTGCCATGTCAGTATATCAGAATATTTTACATTTTCCACAGCTGTCTGCTCAGAGCCCTGCAAGCCTTCACTGACTCACAGATTTGTACTTATTTCAAAGGAAATGCAGATTTGATGGACGGAGTATAACTCGATTAGAAAAGTTAACATCTCCAGTTCTGTTTAATTGGTGCTTCAGATTCTTTTGTGTTGCCCCTTATTCCTGTTCTGATCCTTATTTCTTGTTAGGGTAAGCAAAGAAAAGGATCCTGAGCTTTTTTTTTTTGGGGGGGGGGGGGAATAATTAGAGGAAAAATTATGATTGTTGAAACATATCTTCAGCAGTTACCTGCAAGTTTATCAGTCTTCTGAAAATTCATACCCGAATGTATTGAAATTTAAAGCCTCCATTTCTATGTCAGTGAGTAAGAGTCTTTGATTTATATAATTGTTGTAAATATGAGTCTGTGTTTCCGTAATCATGAAGAGCCAGAGGTCAGGGGGTACAAGGCATGTGTGCATTTTACACTGGCTCTGTCATTCAGGGCTCACCAAAGCACCCCAACTGTCTCATGAGCTGCATTCCCTCTTCTGCCTTCCTGGGTGCTTTCAATCATAGCAGCTGTGAAAAGCTAGTAAAATGCTTTCATTTTATAATCCTGGAAAGAAGTGAGGAACAAAGAGGCCGCACTAAAATGTAGGCTATTTTGTCTTATTCTCTTTGTGAACAAAAGAAGGTGGTTCCTCCACTGTACTACTACTTAACAACATATTTCACTGGAATTACAACTGGACAAAGCAATTGCTGCTATCCCTGTCAGGTCTGCAAGCAGGGGGTGAAGAACCTTTAAAACTTTAAGTGTGGCAAAACTTACCTTGAGACTGGAATGATGCATTGAATTGCATAATGCGAAAGTAGGGTTGGGGAAGCTAGAGTGTGGTGACTCCTAACTTCTGTTAAAGGCTTATAAGCAAAAGCTTGGACTTAAAAAGCTAGTGGCACTGACTTAGCAACAGTTCAAAGGTTGCAGTAGTCAGATTCTCTCAAATTATCCTTCTGAAAGTAAGATAATTTTTCTTTTTAATCCACTAAGTCTTAATGTATTGTAGAATTGAAGTATTTATATATATATATATATATATATATATATATATATATATATTAATTATCAGAATTACTGTTTGTTGTTCAGTGCAGTATAACAAAGGGACAGATTATTTTTTAAATGTCTACAGCTTGTATCAGAAAACAAAGCACCACAGAAGATAAACGTATGAATTTTCTTTTTTGTTCCTGTTACTATCATTTTCGTCTCAATATATGCAAACATCATTAAATCTTTGAATACTAGAAAACCCTAAAACTTTTTAATTTGGATGCACTTTGTAAAA